CTTAAAGTGTGAAGTTTATTTTATTTAATCCTAAGGTTTTATTTTGTATTATTTTGGTCTTCCAAGTATTGAATATCTATATAATAAAGTACAATAAAACCATTCATATCACCATCACCATACTACCATTTCTATTGTCCTACCACTACCATTATCACTGCTGTTGCTACCCTGTCGCCCCACGCCCATGCATCGTTGTAACCCCACCACCACTTCTTCTATAACAATCATCATTACTATCGTTGTTGTCACCACCCTTCCCTCCCCCTCCTCCCAGGACTACCCCCCAACCATCATCTCATTACCGTCTCCCACCACTACCATTACTGTCTACCAACACTACCACCGCTCGCGCCCATCTACAATCGGTGTTTAAATTCTTTTCTTTATTCTCTATTTTTTATATTTAATTTGGGGATAAATATAAATATATTTATTGTTGACTATTTTTTTTATTACTTCGTACCTTTAGGCACAGGAAATAATTAATATTTTTTATATGTTTTCTCAAACAGATAACGTTCAGATTACTAACAATTTTTTATTATAAACTTATCACGTGATACCTAAATATGGACAAAAATTAATTTTGATAACTCTTAAACAAAATTTAGTTAGCTCTCGACAAAAAATGTGTAATATGAATAACTTTTTGACCAAAATTGGGATATTTTATGATCAAAATTGTGTAATTTAGGTAGTTATTTAACAAAAATTTAAATAGAAATTTAGTTAAAGAGTTATCTAAATTATTTTTTTGTCCATATGTAAGTATCACATGACAAGTTTATAATAAAAAATTGTTAGTAATCTAAATGTTATATGTTTAAGGAATCGTATAGAAATTTTTTATTCAATATTTCAGGAATTAAAATAATGTAATTAAAATATTAAAGATTAAAATAAGACAAATCTCATACTTGATAGACCTCTCGTACAGTTAACCTTTTTTCAAATCTAAATTTGGATATGTAGTTGTGTTGGAGATGTTGCGAAAAGAAGGGATGGTTTGGCATTTCATTTGGATTCATCGAGGACGGTCCGAGAGGATCAGTAGGAACCTACTTACTTGTGCTATATATAGTACATGACTAAATGATGGCAGCACTGGCTGGCTCTACGGAAGGGAAGAGGCTTCCCACGCTGTTCTTTATGACCAGTAAGTTATGTGGCACATTTTGTTCCGCGTATGCGAGCTTCAACGCCAATAGTAACGAATCTTGTGTGCAAGATCTTTGACAGTTATTGCCCAAATAAATGCATAAGTAGAAATAAATTTTTTTTTTAAAAAAGAAACTTTCTACTTATAATAATGTCTCCTCTATTCACTTCAGCCGTCACCACCACCACAACCAAACATTAATGTTGATCCCACCACACACCATCACCACCCCAATCCTCTACCACAACCACGACCATCTGCTATTTCCACCACAACTGCCGCTTTCCGTATAATATGTATTCAAGAGCATTTTACTAATTATAATACATATAAATATTTTTCTATTGACCATTTAAACACTTTGTTTATAAAGTATTTTTTATTTTGAAAAGTTACCCCAAATGCAATTTTAATCAAAACACTTGTTATAAAATAATTTTAATAAATACCAATGTAAGTAATATTTTTTGGATTAACAAGTCATTCTAAATGTGTTGTGGCAGCTGCAGGAGGAATCCGTAATGCTACACTCAATGTATTATTAATTATACCAAACACACTGACGTTTCTGCCTGACCATGAAAACAGTAACTTCTCATCCCATTTCCTTTGGTTTCTACAATAGATATAGAGGATATACGAAGCTGCATAATTTGAAACACAAAAAAATCATATTTCAACCTACAATCTCTCTCTCTCTCTCTCTCTCTCTCAATAGTTTTTGAATGGTTCAAAAACTGAATTTCTAAACTTAAAAATGAATCTTTTGACCATGGCAGTGTTTTAACTTGAGATTTATAGAACCAAAAGAGGCTTACAACATCAGAGCATTGAACATAATGGTTGTGGATCTGGAAAAGAGAAATCCCAGTTGGTTAATATGCGTGCAAGGCATGCAGTGCCACTCGTCCGTTCAGCTAGACAGTGACGTAGCCTACTCCGTGAACTTGGCCAGGTAGTGATAATGCTTCAGATGTTTGTGTCGATAAGGGTGAAAGGAAGGCAGGCTTGTTTTGGCTGTTTCTGTATACTACGATCAGTCATTCTGAAGCAAAAACTACAGTTTTCCCGAACACAAATAGAACCAGTGAGAGTTCAATGAAGAAGATTGTATTTATTAGACCTCGATCGACCGTCCATCCGAATATCGTTATTCCCCCAGGATTGGTCTGCAAATACATCACTGCATGACCAATCAAAATGATGCATACAAACATTCGATTAGCAAATTGATAGCTCAAACAGAACTCATCCTGCTAGAAAGATCAAAATGATATCACATCTGAGGAAGAAGAGCCTAACAGGATGGCTACCTCAAACTCAAAAAAATTTAAATTTTGCTTATTCAGCCAATTGTACCCTTTAACTTGAGGTTGCCTGTCTTCTGAGACATGCAAATTCCTTTCTTATAGTAGAAGAACTAAATAAGCAGACCCAAAAGCAATAGTACATCTAATGATCACTAAGAGAAAAGTCCATTCACAATTGGAGTCTTAACCAGATTAGAGTACCCTTGACAACCAACTGATGTTAAAATCTGTTCAGCTTCTCCATCTTTCTCTACATTTGTTTCCACTAAAATCAGTTTGACACTCTTTTGCTGCATTTCATGGTGTTGCGAGCTACAAACATTCAAAATTCTAGTGTCAAGGATGGTGCAGTCAATGTTTTTATTAAGGGTGACCTTTAGCTATATGTTGTTATCCAATCCATGGTGTTGGGTTGAGATTATTAGTCAGATGAACTATATCATCAACTATGTATAAGGAGAGAGGACTAGAACAATTTTCTAAACAGAGGAGCCAGGATTGCTTGAATCTCACATTCAGTGGTTCAAGAAGAAGCCTAGATTCAGGAAAGCATGGGAAAACTTCAACAAGATTGTTTCCGGTTATTGGCCATCTAGACCATAGACACCTGTTCATTGATTAATGAAATATGTATAACCAATACATTCCAACAATTAGCTAAGGATCTTATGGACATATAGAGCTGAAAACTTCATGTTATTATGTTAAAACTTTGAAAAAGACATAAATCATGGGTAAAAAGCATTCTCCGGCATTTAGAAGATCAAAGAAAATAGGGTCATCACATCCAGGTATATACCAGCAATGCTTTCCCAAATTTTTAGTTACTTACATAAGGATAGTAGAATATCTTAGTTTCTACCTTTTCCTGTATTGTGTTTTACGTAAACCACCCTGAAATGATCATGCTGTCATTTGATCTTAAGTTGTGTTGTCTTAGGGATGTAGAGAGAATAATAAAATAATACCAAGATAAATTTCTAAATATTAATCTTCAATTTTAATCATCATCCAACTCCTTTTAAATCCCCATCACTTTGTTTTTTTGCTCCGCTAATATCATTTTTCCTTTTTTCCATACAATGGATTAGTCAAAAAGCATACAAGATAACAGATCACATATATAACTCATCTCAACAGAGTACAGAACACATGCAGCATGAGGAAGACAAAAATCAAGTGCATTGGATATCTGTGAAATACTGCTAAAGGTGAAGTTTCTAATTTTACTGTTTCTTTTTAAATATGGAAAATCTTTCTTTTCTACTGTTTCTTTCTAAATGGGGAAATCTTTAAGATAAATCTGGAATAGATGAACAAACCATATTTCAAAGCATTTGTGATTGTGCTCATTTGAATTCTAAAGTCAAAAAGTTGTAGAAGGGGTAACCTGCATTTTTTCTCCTTCCATTTATTTATTTACGTGTTTTTCACTGATAATTGTCAGCAGATCGAGAACCCATGTTTTAGGCTGAGTGAAAGCAATGTGTGATCAGTTTTGAGATATTGGGGTTTATGTACAATTCAAACCATATGACAGATCTATATGATTACTACCTAACAATATAGAGAATAGATAATCGAGGCCACGTGTGGAATAAAACTTATATAGGAACAGATAAAAAATTCAACATGAGAAAGTTGATTCACATACCCAGGGCTTGTCTCTTGTGGTATGACGACATATAAGAAGCCAATTGTGTATTCGTAGGCACTGCTGCGAAATTTAAAGACTCCAAATCATTTTCAGAGTTGTTCATATGCAACAAAGCCTCCATGTTTTCCATACTATGTGAAGCTAACAACTGAGATGTATCACTGGAGCTGCATGTTACAAATGCATGCCATCTGCTTGCTAGTGATGCAATGCCTTGGGCTCTATGGGAAATTTTTGCAGCAGCATTCAGGCAAAGAAGTATCCCCACAACCTGAACAACAGAGGAGACCTGAAAAACCAAAGAGAAAAAACAAAGAAAACAAAACTTTAGTTAAGCAGAGCAACAAATTAGAGAGAAGTGTGCATTGCAATGGTAAATTCCATCAAATGTAAGCTTTATCTGGTGTAAACAAGTGCATGCAGGAGCTAGAGAAAATTTATACAGCCAACCAATAAGACAAGCCCCCAAAAATTTAAGAGTGGATCATTTGTGAATCTTGCTATGGCATTGCATCTCGAGATTCTAGAAAGTAATAAAGAGAAGATTTCATGACCTTGGAAATGGTGACCAGTGAAGACTTATCCAATAATGTTAATTGCATGTTTTTCTTTTTCTTTTTTTTTTTTTGGGGGGGGGGAGGGGGTGGGGGGTCTGGGACTGTTTACAGCATACTGATTAAGGAACTTAAATTGCAAATAACTTATACATTGTAGTTCATACCAAACAAAATAATCATATATGGCTGAACTTACCACAAAATCACCACCATTTATGTAAGTAATAGGTCCTACATATACCGTTGTTTGAAATAGAATCACAAACAGGCTTGTCGTGACAATCAAGAACTCCAGAAGAAGATAAATACGGAATCTGTGGCTTATTTTCGAGAGATAATACCGCAGACGAACATGCTCTTGAATAAGTACCAAAACATCAGATTCTCTTTCCAAAAGCTTCCCGTAGTCATCAAAGTGGATAATTTGCAAATTGCAAACCAAATGGAACAATATGCAAGCTGATAGAAAGATTGCAGTAACATAAGTCCATGACACAACCAAAGCCAGTAAAATAGCAACAGAATGCCACCAAGACTCATGCTGTACATAGAGCATGCGGATGATTTCGCGTGCAGTCTTCATAATGAAACAAGGCACTATCCACAATACAAGTAAGCGGACAGAATCCTGCAAAAATTAAAAAACTAAACTACTATTCCAAGTCATATGTTCATTGGAAATGCTACCATAAAAAGAAGTACGAGTGGAATAACTCATTACCGATAAGAGTTGAATAACTTGGACAACAATAATACGAGCTCGGAACAGAATGCCTTGGTGATTAAATGATAGATCAACAGCAGGACAAGTAAATAGGTACATCACAATCCATCTGAGAAAAGAGTGGTTTAAAAGGAAGGCACTAAAATAACAAGAATGAACATATGGTGGTAAGACACTTCCTGCCAATTTTGTGCTATCCAAGATTAGTTTAATCTTAGGTGTTAAGTGCAGAATAAGAAGTGCAACTGTTTTCTATATGCAAAAGCAAAAATATAAACAAAGGCTGTGAACTAATCAAACAATTTCTATCCCCAATGAATTTCCAATTGCTAAAGCATACTTTCCAATATCGAAATTTTAATGTTTAGTTGCCATGTAAATCAGTTATAGATGATACTTTTTATCAGCTCACATAATCTCCCAGTCCATTGACCAAGAAGGTGGTAATCCTTAAATTAAATCAATTCTATAGTTTTTAGGAGCAAATTTTCAATCATTATGATCATTCACCATCTAAATAATAACAAAGATAACACCTGCATAAATAGAAACATTCATTACGGATGAGCACAAGGAAAGCAACACACACAACACCTGTGAGTACTCCCCAGACACCATCTCCAAAACATCATGTCTTATACATTGTGTTTCTTTCCAATAGGGGGAAAATAAAGAGTATTCAATACAACTCACACAAATTTTCTGATTGTATTCGTTAGCAAACCGCTCAACATGGCCACTGTACCGATCGACAAATAGAAATTTCCTGATACCATACTTTCGCAGATTGTGTGAAAGGCAAAGCAGAGACGCAGCAGCCAAAAAAGCCTGTGAAACAACAACATCTATCTCAAATGCTTTAATTTGATACTCTTCACAATTCGAGCAATCGGATAACACAAGTACAACGACAGGAAGAGACACCCCAATCAGCAGAAACACGACACAAGAAAGCCCAAAGCTGAAAACAGAGGATTGGTTGAAGCCCAGCAGAGTGAGTAATGAGTCTAAGCGTTGAAGGGTTTTATCCAAATGGGTGTCATGATCATCTTCACCGCGATGTTCTTGATTTTCTTGCTGTTGGTGTTGGTGGGTTTGATCTGCGATAAGCAGAGGGCTTTGTTCCTGTTCCTGTTCCTGTTCCTGTTCTGATCTTGGGTTTTGATTCCTCAACTTCGACATTGAGATCAGCCATTGATGAGAGCTTAATTTGAGATTAATCTAGAAAGTCCTAACATATTGTATCAATGATATGATATTTTGAGAAGTAGCTTGTCGTAGAAACCATGGCCGTCACACACAGATGACAGATCACACACGTAAAACTATAGAATATTGAAAATTTGGTGGTGTGTATTTATCACAACAGCTTTCGGTGATGAAACTTAATGATGGATGGCTCATTATTGAGTTTGATTTTTCAGTAATTCACAAATTTCATATGTTAAATCTCTTTTCAAATTTGTTAAGAGTTAGTTATCTGTGTTTTCATACTCTAAATCAATTCAAATTACAGTAATTAATCGCTGAATTCATAAGAATAATTAATTTAAACTCATTAGACTTCTTTATTATGTTAGATCAATAATGAGATGAAAAAAGAATATTATTTTTGTGTGCGGGTCTAGATTTTTTAATAGAACAATGCTATAAAATTCAAAAGTTATAATCCAAATACATATCATCCCTTAGATTAGTGGATTCCATTAATTTTTTCAGCGAGATCCACTCATCCAAAGGATGATATGTATTTAGATTTTAATTTTTAGGTTTTATTTGAATTATATATTATTTTTCTTTCTCTCTCTCTCTCTCTATATATATATATAAATAATTTTTTTATTAATGAATTTATTCATCATTAATGAGAAAGACTCACTTATATATAATGAATTACACTTAAATGCATGAAAAAATATATTTAGAGAGAATCTCATTTTATACTCCTTTTTTATGTGTTGAAGTTTCAAATTTTCTTCATTTCTTGCCTTTTTGGTTTTTCTATGAAAAGGTGTGTTATTGTATAATCCCTAGTCAACAACAATGTCGAGTCTCACCAAAATTTGTGATTAAAATTTGGGGTAAATTACACTTTGTAGTTTGTGTTCTATTTTTTTTTAAATTCTCAATTTGTATTACTAGTGTCATAAAATTATAGTAATATGACTCAAATCTAAAAAGTCATCTGGTTGTTGTCCGAAAATGAAACACACCACTTGCAAGTGATATTGACAAGGACTTAATTATAACAAAAAACATTTTGATTTGTAATGCCACTTGCAAGTCGCATGCTTCGTTTTTAAATAGAAAACTGGACAATAATTTGGATCTCACATTGTTACAAATTTATGATATTGAGGGGCATAAGTTAAAATTTTTGAACTTTGAGGGTATGAATTAAAAATTAAAGAATCATTTAAAGTGTAAAATATATTTTCCCTTGCAACTAGTGGGGGAGCCATGTAAGGATTTGGTTGGGCAGTCGCCCCTTTTCGGATCACCTTTGATTAGGAATTAGGATTCTATGGTGTTATTTATTGTACTAATATTCCGTGCCTGAAGGCACAATACAATATAAAAATTGAGTTTTTCAAAAAATCAAACCCACTATTTCAAATCACAACCACCACTTTTAAAAAAAAAATTTGACAAAACCTATAACTCAAGACATTGTGTAACACAAAGTCGACCATTAATCATGTAATACAAAAATTTTCAACATACAAATATTTTAAATAAAAACTTATTTATTTTTTTAGTTACGGCATTTTAAATCAATATAAACTTACTACGCCATTTTAAATCAATATAAACTTACAATCAATATAAAAAAAATGACAAAATTTAATGTAAAAACATAACATAAAAAAAAAAATTTCAACCACCTGTGCACATAATTTATCGAATATGCTTATTAGTAAGAAACATATGAATTTAAAAAAAATATGACCCAATTCATTTATCAAATTCAATATCACTCCCTAATTCTATCTTAACAAAACAATTCATCAACTAACGTAACATAGTAATATCAATAATATAATAAAGCTCAACTTTATCCATATTGATTTGCATATATCAAATCCAACCTATAATTCTCAAAGCACTCATTTAATTAACATTCATATCAACTCTCACATAAAAATTACTACAACAAAAGTAAAAAATCCAAGCAAAACTGAAACAAATCAAGATAATTGGTTCAATTAATCATGTGTCTGTGTTTAAAGAAACTGTGTAACCAAAAATAACAATTGACAAAAGTTAGAAATTCATTGGACAAAAATTTTAACTCTATATTTTAAAAAATTTGGCCAGAATTTTCGCCTGAAAATGGGACCCCAGATAATTTGCAACCTATATACAATTTATTTTCATACTCAAAAAGGCTACCAAATATCTCACTATCATGTCACAATTCTGCCTAACACAACTATTTACCAACAAACGCAACCACGTATCCACTAACTTCATTACCTTGCATTTGTCAAAAAAATTTACGTCTTTACACATGCACAATAAACAATAAATCCCAAGAATCTAAAGTGAGTATAACAACTCCCACAATAGAATTAAAGGTCTATAGCATTTATCCAATACTTTACACAACAGTCTGTTGAAAAAAAAAATAGAAAACTAATCCATGATCCTGAAAGAAGGAAAGAAATAGATAAAAAACAATCCATAATTTCGAAAGGAAAGAAATGGATGAAAACGGGTTACTATAAGCCTAATGGAGATTTGAAGGCTTGAATGTTATTTGCATACAACTTTACACCCCAAGCACGCCTCCATATATACCTGAAAAAAAAAATCAATTTCATTTTCTCAAACAAAAATCAACTACATACAACCCCAAGCATGTTTCCACATACACGCGAGTGTTCCATGGGCTGCGTGTGAGTGCAAGTATGTATAAGTGCTGCTATTCAGTGAGTTGCAGAATCAATGTGTGTGAATGTTGTGCCTATGGATGTATGTGTGGGTGGTAATTAAAAAAATAGGAATCAATTAGAAAATCTCAAATGCAATGGATGGTTCATTCACACTCTAGACATGTCCACCGCCTCCTAGGCAAAATTAAAACCACTCCTTACTATGGATGGTTCATTCACACTCTAGACATGTCCACTTTTAGCGTGCATGAGTCCATAAGGCATCCAACTACTTCAAATCAAACATACAATCCATAGTTATTCAAAGATAATTGCAATATCAACTTAAAAAATGCTGCAAGATAATAAACCCAATTCAACATATACTCGAAACTACCACAAAAGCCAACTTACTTTTACCAAGCAACCATGACTCTTATACTCCAATTCGGTACAGAGGAATCAACCTTTTATACAAACTAAGTCAAAATCACAAACCTAGTTCACTACTACACCCAATTCATCAAATTCAAATTAATTCCCCACAATTTAATGAGATCTTAGCTAAAACCAACCCAAAGAAATCGACATTTAATTGCATAAGACCATATAAACCAAGCTATTCTATTACATTCGTCTACAAATAAAGCTAAATAAAACGGATTTTATGTAGAGCAAGAAAGTGGAAATCTATGAATCAAGAGGTACATTTGGCAATCGTTTCATTTCTTAATAACAGTAGTATGCCTGAATCGTATAAATGAAATAGTTAGTTTAGTTTTATAAGGCACATCTGAATAACTTTAGCATTTTAATAAATAAAGAACTTGATCAATAGGTACTTTCATAAACAGTAATATACATCGAAACACTTTCATTGTTTTCTAATACCAAAAAACCACTTTTTGAAACTTTGTCCGAAATATAACCAAAAAATCTGTAAGATCCAGAATATTATGAATTTTAAAATTCTCACCAGTGGTAAGGAATTAGAAAGCATTTGAACTTGGCCAATGATGTTAGTTTAATGAACCAAAATAAGAAGAGGGTGGAAGGGGAGTACCTGTGGTGGCAGTGATTTGTCCGTGGCTCTTTGAGAAATTCTATTGAACACGTGGTGGTTGTAGTTGGTGGCTGATGGTTTCCATTTCCATTTCAATGATAGTGGTTTCCACATTATACCCCAAAAAATTAGTACACAGGAAATTCATAATAATAATAAAAAACAATGGTAGAGTACACAAAATTTCTCTCGGTCATTCCAACAAATACTTGGTGTCCAAATCAACAAATTTTAATTTGTGTATATTGTGTTTTTTGTGTGCGTGTATGAAAGAGAGACTGAAGAGGCATACCTGGGAGGGGTTAACAGCGGCGGCGGTGGTGGTGGTGGAGTTGCTGACGAAGTGGCGGTGGTGGTGGTGTTGTTAGGGCGTAACAGAGAGAACGATACAGAGAGAGAAGGGCTAAGTCCTGACAACAGCGGCAGTGGTGGTGTTGCTGAATGGCGATGGTGGTGGTGTTGCTGGCGGTGTCACTGGAACATAAAGAATATTTACTGCCTCCAGTAACTGCATTTGGTAGTCTAACTTTAGCGGGCATGTTCACATTATCACCTATACACACATTAACACTTTGGGTCTAACTTCTGAGCGAGTGAAAGCTGACTTTCATTAAGACATTGAATACACCCAATGAAAGTACAATTCCTAATAAGAACTAATAAACCTTCAATTTTCGGTTCTAGACATCCAACCACTTAAAATATTCCACACTACAACTTCAACATCAAGAAGTTTTGGACCTAAGTTATCAAGCAAATCAAATAACACCTATGCCCTTGGGATCTCTTTTGAAATGTTTCTGCGGGTAAATGAAGTCAGCAATAGGAAGCCAAATTTTCTTTTATCCTGTTTTGGATGCTCACATTAATTTTTGCCCATTACTCCTACCTACAATTCGTCACAGTTCTCATAGATTGCATATATAAACATATACAATTAGGCCATCAACATTGCTTTATCTTCCTTAAGTACCATCTTATTGTTTGCTTGTATGTGATATAACACAGTGTAAATCAATTAAAAGTTAGTGGAAGAATCAATTAAAATCCAAGACAAACATAATTTCAACACATTATACCCCAAAAAATAGGTACACAGGAAATTCATAATAAAAAACAATGGTAAAGTACACTAAATTTCTCTCAGTAATTCCAACAAACACTTGACGTGTGTGATGTGGATGCGTGTGTGATGTGGATGCGTGTGTGCTGGACCTGAGTTGGGTCTGTGTGTGCTAGGTTAG